GCCATTACTTGTGTAAAGTATTTTCCCAAAAGACAAAGACACAGGCAACAGGTAATACTGAACTAAGACAAAGACACAGGCAACAGGTAATACTGAACTAAATGTAAAACCTCAACCTTTTTCATTTTTACCTAAACCGTGTGCACAAAACTCTGGAGGGATCTATGCTATAGTGATGGGATTTCCGGCTCTTTTTAGAGATCCGGCTTTTTCGGTTCGGCTCACTAAAAAGAGCCGGCTCTTTCGGCTCCGAACCGGCTCTTCAGGTTGTTTTGTTGCTTTAATTAATTTATTATTAACAATAATATAAAATTATGCACAAAAGGAATTACTAACGTAAAAACAAGTGGTTTTATTTATATATGTTTATATATAAATATATGCGGTGGCCCCTAGAGACAAAACACGTACAAACTCCAAAACACATTTCTAGCATTAACTGAACTTCCAAAGCAGAGCTACTAGATCACTTAAATTACACAATTGAAAGCATGTGTGTATTGTTTGTGTATTTATACACAGGCACTCATATATATATATATTCAAATAATTTAAAAAAAAGTTCATTTACCTGTTATTACCACACACCAAATCCGGTCGTTGGTACTTGCTGGATTGTGTAGCCACAAGATAACAAAAGCTAAACACTGCGCCCAGCATCCTGGAGCACTTCTGTTGTCTTTTGTAAGTGTTTTGAGTTTTTACGTGCTTCGGAGTTTGTACGTGTTTTTACGTGTTTTGGAGTTTTTAGTGTTTTGGAGTTTGTACGTGTTTTTACGTGTTTTGGAGTTTGTACATGCTTCAGAGTTCGTACGTGATTTGAAGTTTGTATGTGCTTTGTCTCTAGGGGCCACCGTAAATATACTTTTATTTATTCACTCCACATAAAATGTAATAAATAAATCATATAATACAAAAATCAACTATTCACATTTCAACTTTTAACTATTTAAATTTTCAGCTTTTTCCTTTCACAAATTTAAAGTGAAAAGAACACAAAACACTGCAAACCACAACACAATTAAATATAAATTATAATATGAAAACTAAAAGAACATGCATATTCTCTGTCATATGGACCTGCATGAATAAACTTTCTCAATCCTTTATCATCTGCAACCGAAAATAGTTGTGGATGATTACTATACCTTTCTAATGTTGTTGTCCCTGCCTCTCTTTCTCTCTCTCTCTGGCTCTGTTCCTGTGCTACTGAGTGTAACTACCGCCCCTCCCCCCTCTGCCCAGCGTAAAGCACAAGGCTCGCGTGCAGAGTGAAACGGAAAAAAAGTGCGAGAGAGAGGCTGAGAGAAAGAAGGAAAAAAAAAAAAAAAAAAAAACCCACGTGACGGCTCGCGATAAGGATACGGCTCGCGATAAGGATCCGGCTCGCGTCGTTCACGTCAAAGAGCCGGCTCTAGCCATTTCGTTCGCGAACGACCCATCACTACTATGCTAACGTAGAATCCAGTCAGGACGTCTGCTACTGCTGTTTGCTCGTTTTTTTTTTATGGGCGATCGTTTTCAGGCTTCAAGTAGCACCATTATACCAACATTTACATTCTAGACATTGTTTTAGGCGTATTTGACCAAAGGTTTGACTGAAAATTCACATGCAAGCTTTTTTTCAGTGCTGTGGTATTTGCCCGCAAACAATACCTTTCAGCTAGCTAAAACAGAATATTATGCTATCAGCGAGCAACATGGCTAATGCCTTTCACACAGCTTTGTCTCAACTCCAAAGAGCCACAGAAGTAAAAGCTAATAGAAATAATTGAAACAATCTTTGAAAAAATGATTTACCAAGCATGGCAAACAATTCAAATATGTAGAGCAAAATGTTCTGAAACGGCTTCACTTCAGCTTCGATTGGAGCCGTGCTGGGGGCGGAGTCTGTGAATTTACTCTGTTGGTGTCATAGCCCCTGTAGGAGTTCAGAGTTAAGAGGTCAAGAGTTAATGTTTCCATTGTAACACCTCCAGATTTGACAGAGAAACACTCATTTTTAACACTCGATTTTAACTACTATCATTTTACACCTCAGAGTTACATTCAAAGAATGTGACTCTGCTTAGAGTAAAATTAACTCTACTTTTGCAAGAAGACTATTAACACCAAAACATTTAACACTTTTGAATTTGCTGTGTGGATTCAATCCCAGGACCTTCTTGCTGTGAGGTGGTAAGAGTTTACCAAGAGTTTATGTGATTTAGTTACACCTAATCTGGGGCGGCTGGGGCGATCGTGGCTCAAGAGTTGGGAGTTCACCTTATAATTGGAAGGTTGTCGGTTTGAGCCCCGGCTTGAACAGTCTCGGCCGTTGTGTCCTTGGGCAAGACACTTCACCCTACTGGTGGTGGTCAGAGGGCCCGGTGGCGCCAGTGTCCGGCAGCCTCGCCTCTGTCAGTGCGCCCCAGGGTGGCTGTGGCTACAATGTAGCTTGCCATCACCAGTGTGTGGATGACTGGGTGTGTAAAGCACTTTGGGGTCCTTAGGGACTAGTAAAGCACTATACAAATATAGGCCATTTACCATGTAAATTTTATATCAAGTGGATGTAGTTGTAGATGTTGTTTTCATCATTTGATATGATTGAGACACAAAGGGGAAAATCTGTCATGGAATCATTTCAACGTTCCTGCTACTGCATACTGCTTATTAACCATTCAGCTAGAGAAATATTTGACTTAGCCACAAGTCCTTGAATCTGAAGATTTGTTTTTCCCATAAAGGTCCCTGGCCCCCTAACATTTTTGGACAAATGGACAAACTGGATGACGTGTTGATATTATAACAATCTGTGTTCAGAGATGCTGGTTTGTAGAGATCTAAATGGTGTTGTGACAACTTCAGTCGAGAGGTCAGTAAACATGCTCTCATCTTAGATGCTGTAAAGCCTGTGAAATAGTGTCTGTGATTTGCAGGGTTTTAAAGGGATTGGCTGTTGTTTTTATCTGCTAGTTCAAAGCAGGGACTTAGTCTGAAGGTGCTTAAACAAGAAGCTGGTCCAATGCCAGCAGCGTGGTGTACGGTTTTTGTTGTTTTGAGACTCACTATGTCCTGATCTCCTTATTGAAGGCATGCTATAATGTTTGTACTAATGAAAAGTAGGTTTTTATATTGGGAAATATGTATCACAAAAACAGAAAATAAAATGTAGAAGGTCTGGCTACTTGCAATAACAATATTTACCTTTTTATTTTGTGCAGTATTTCTTTCCTTGTAGACTGTGTGTCTATTCTCAGTCATGCTCTTTCTGCTCTTTTATGTATTTCTTTCTCACTTTGCCTGGTTGGTTTTGTTGCTGAGATCTAAGTGATTAACTGCCAGTGTGAAACATTTCAGGGCATGCCAGCCCAACTAGCAGAGACCCTTGTGGCTTCAAAAAAGCAAACCGAAACATCAGCAGCACAAGGCTCTAAATGGAGCTTGAAGACCTCTTTTTTTTTTTCTTGGTCTAATGGTCCCTGTGATACTTCCCCGGAGGCTGACATTCAGCTACACTGCAAAAACTCAAAATCTTACCAAGTATATTTGTCTTATTTCAAGTCAAAATATCTAATCACACTTAAAATAAGCCATAATCCGCTAAAGAGTAACGTTTCAGTGAGATATAGGAACTTGTTTTTAGACAGTGCATCTTGGATATCTTGTTAAGTGAAAAACTCTTGAAAACATATTGTTTTGAGTCATATCTCACACGAAACAAGCTTTTTTTGGCATTTCATAAACGTTTTAAGCTGCTGTGTTATTTGTAAAAGATGTATCATCTTGTTTCAAGAAATAGACCTAACTTGAATCAGGACATCAAATCTACTTTATTGAGAACTGCAGGTTAATATCATGCCCAGGGATAGCTCAGTAGGTAAAGTGGTCGCCCCATGATCGGAAGGCGCGTTCGAATCCACTTAACGGCTACCCTGAGGTACCCTGAGCAAGGTACGTCCTACACACTGCCCCGGGCGCCTGCTTAGTGGGCTGCCACTGCTTCACTGAGTGAATGGGTCAAATGCAGAGAAAAAACAAGTAATTTCCCCATGGGGATCAATAAAGTATCCATTATTATTATTAACATTGCATTATTATGAGTCTTAGTATCTTAAGCACAGTGTATTTATTTTTCTTACATACCAGTCAAACCATATCAATGTGACATTGAAAAAGAGGCAAAACACTGAAATTGTTTCCCTCACTGAACAGATTGCGCCAAAAGTAAAATAAAAAGTAAATAGAACAATTTTTTTGCCAGTCTTTAAAAACCTTATTTCAGCCCACATATTCACAAAAGACTCAAGAATAATGTTTGATGATGTCAGTTAGATCATACTTCACTGGAATGTACTTGCTGTTATTAAAGTTTACATAGTGGTATGCTGTATAATCAACAAGATTTCCAGCATCCACAAAAATATTTGCCTGAGCTAGACAGGGAACTTCTACCTCATAAGCTAAATATTGATCATTCCACCCAACTGTAGAGAGAGGCTGGCATTCAAAACAATACACAGATGCATTTACAATATAGATGTTTTTAACAAGTGCAAACTCTGGAGCATCATTTATGACATCAGAAATAACCAAAGATTTTTCACATGAATGTATATTTCCATGTAGCATAATCCACTGTACAGAAACTACATGTTCAACTTGCTCAATGAAGTCTTTAATCTTGCCTTCTACATAATGAACATTTTTCACCTCTTTGGCTGGACCCATGTCGACTTCACTTGAAAAAATGGGATGTTTCTCATGCACGTTCTGACTACATTCATAAAGTTGGTTGTGCTTCACAAGAGATTTACAAATATTCTTAAAACTACTTTTCAGAGCCCACTGCTTGAAGAAACAATGTTTTGACTCAAAACGCATACACATATGCCTCACTGTAGGACCAAGAGCCTTAATCTGAGAAGGAAGATGCAGTAAATAATGCTGTTTAGGTATAATATTTTCATCTGGAAACAGTTGTTTGAAATGTTTTAAATGCTGCTCTATTAAAAGCTTCAATCTGGAGAGAGTTGAGACAGCAATAATAGGTGAAAACAGAATTTTTATGATCTCTAACATGTTACGTAGCATTTGTGTGTAATGATTTTCTCCAATTTTGTCCATAAGAAATGGAAGGATCTTCAACAAAACCAGCATCTGCCCAGCTGACTGTTTCAATTTATTGTCATTTGATGACAGCGTACTGACAGATATGGGGCAAGGCTTATCCCTCACATCAACAGGAGAATAAGGGAAACACAAAATTGCACTATTGAATGAATCTAAGTTCATTTGCCCTGAAAGCACAAGATTCTTTAAAACACATTTGATTTCATATGGGGCAACGCCTTCTTTTTTTTTTTTTTTTTTTTTCGTTTGGCTCTTTTCATCAAATTGTTGTCTAAAGGCAAAGAAAGATCCAACGGATTACTTTACAAACTGACCATCCCCTGCCGTAATGGTCATTTGATTCACTTTATTGTTATTTTATTTCACTTACTGAATACGGACAGACTGACTGGGGAAAAGGGGAGAAAGAGGAAAGAAACAGCTGAGAAGAGGACGGGAGAAGGCACGCTTCAAGAATAACATGCATGATGTCTTGCGGGGTTTGATTGATTATATCAACGTGAGGAGATTCTGTTAACTTGCTTCTCCTGTTTATACCATACGTTATTTTTAGTTTGTCTTTCAGAAAGTCCGTACTTGCCTTCTCAATGTCATTACATTGCCTGTTATGACTGGCCATGGTCCTTTTAACAAAAAAATCTTCATTAAATTTTTCCTGCATGTCTTCAAAGTGGCATTCGCAGTGCCTGCATTTACTGTAGGCAAAACCCACTCCTTCCTTAAATCCAGCCACTTCATGCTGAGCTAGAGTGTCTCCACACACAGATATGAGTGCCCCATGAATTGTCCTCTCACCACTTGCAGTGACAACTTGGACACCATCACACAGCTCAATTAAGTCACGGTTAATCCTCTCAAATATCTCATCTATACCACAACGGGAAAGATCTTTTGATTTTACCATGGCAAGCAGACGAATAGCAGGAAGTCTTGATCTGTACTTAGGGCTGATGTTACCTAAGGTGTAATAAATCAATAACAGCTTGTTCTTGTTTGCCCGAGATCCAAGAGGATTGCATAGTTCAATTTCATCTGTATATAAAATCAACTGTAATGCTGTAGGGACTTTAATAAACAGTGGGTGCCACTTAAAAATGTCTCCATCAATGAAATCATGAAGAAAGCCATCCTTGCATGGCTTTGGCCTCTCATCAATCATTGCAAGGATTCTTGGATGTGATAGCAGCTGCTCCAAACTTTTCAACAACGGTATGTAATGAAAACAATGGTCTTTAATGGCAAGAACTCTGGAGTCTCCACGCTTCGAATAACAGACTGTTTGTTTTGTGACAATAATCTCTGGTTCAACTGGTTTTAACAGTTCTTTGATGGTCTTGTCCTGCAAATGTGTGGAAGCAATTTGAGTGAAAGGGTCAACAAACTGGTCAAATACCCCCACTGCATCACTCTTTAGTTGATCCAGGTCCCCAGAATGTCTCTCAATCATGTCACTCATTTGTTGTTTTAAGTGCTCCAATAATACGGCCTGATATTGCTGGATTCCACTCACGATGTGGTTAACAGCTCTCTGTGGAAGAGGAAAAAACAAAGGAAAATCCTTAATTACAAAATTCATATGAGAACACAGTCAACATGCAAACTCACAGAGACACAATTTTTGAAAAATGAAACCTTCAGTTACATAAAGTTAGTGAGATGCAATGAGCAAAATAAGTTACCCCCACCACCCAATTTTTTTTGTAAAGAATAATATTGTCTTATGCAACGTTAAAACCTTGTTTTCACTTAATTATAATGCATTTTGAGGAATCGGATCATAGGTGGAAATGCAAATTGAAAATTTGTGTTGTGTGTATTATGTTGTCTCTATTCTTAGCTCATGCTAAGGAAATATAGTGATAGGCAGATTTTGGATGCAACATACATGTCTATTTCCATATATAGTGGGGGAGTGAGATCTGAGTGGTCACCCATGAATTACATGGAGACACATTCGAATGTCAGGTGTTTCACTCACATACCTATAGCTGTCCATTTATGATCAGATCATTCAAGATGCCAGGTCTGAACAGTGCCCAAGTTATAGCTTGAGCACTGTTAAGCATAAGTTAAGCATATTGCTTTTAGGTTCTCTAACAATGAAATACAATTCAATGGAAAATTAATGGCATAAATTACTTGTGTCAGTCGATGGGTTTCCTTGGCTTGAAGAAGAAATGCAGTTGCATGTTTATAAATGTCAAGATTCAGGTGACCCTCTCCATCTTCTTGAAATCCACTCTGAAACAGAATAACAAAAACATATCTATTAAAACAGAAATAAATAATTGCATTGATAGGTAGCAATCACCAAACAATATTGCATTCATTAGTTAGCTAGATTCATGCCCATAAGGTACAAGGTAGATGTATTTTTACTGACTGATGTCTTTAATTTGAGCTTTTAAAATGACAACTAAAATGACAAACAAAGCAGTACTTGATAATAGATTAATAAGACTAGCAAAGCACATGGAGAGTTCAGTACAGTATAGTTTAAATTCCTTGATCATGCCTGATCACCCCCAAAATTGAATTACTTGTTTATTGGCCCATTTGTGACATTTCCTGAAAATTTAAAATCTGTCCATAACTTTGAGTTATTTTGCTAACAGTCAGACAAATGCCACCAAAAACATAACCTCCTGAGTTACTAAGAAAAAAGGTAAAGAAAAGAAAAACAAAAGATAGTTTTAGAAAAAAAAGTAACAGTTAATGTTGTCAGTAGTCTTACTGTTACTTCAGAAATGCAAATAGTTATTTATAACTGATTACTCATTTAAAAAATATACAAAATAACTTACTGATTGGTTTGTATGAAAGTAATTAGTTATGTCAGTTATTTACTGTTGGACAAGTTACTGACAATTTGAAATATGTTATATTTAGTAATTTCACCTTTAAAAAAAATGACCAATACTGACAATAAAAGTAATATTGACTTTAATGCTCTTATTAATGTGAAGATGAGTATTTTTTTGTGTGTTTAAATTTTTTTTTGACAGTAACTCTGAACAAATCATGTAATTTTGGTTTGCTTTGCCTAATAGTCATTCTCTTAGGCTACGTCCACACGTACCCGGGTATTTTTGAAAACGCAGATTTTTCTATGCGTTTGCACCTTTCGTCCACACGTAAACGGCGTTTTTGGTCACTGAAAACGGAGATTTTTAAAAACTCCGGCCAGGGTGGATATTTTCTAAAACTCCGTTTTTGCATTTACGTGTGGACATAAAAATGGAGAAAACGCAGTGTCAAAGGTGTGCTCATTTTTTGACGTCACACTGTGCGCCACGTTATTATTTCGGTGAAATGAATTTCTACAATACTGTTACTTCTACTCTCTGCACTGTTTAAATGCTTACATATACACACACAGTTATTGTTCCTCCACACATACCACTTGCTTCTGCTTCTATGCCCCAGCTTTGTTTACTTTTTCCCACCGAGGCTTCTAGACTTCTGATTGGCCAACATTGCTGCACGGTTAGGAATATATCGCCACCTGTTGCTTTGGCATGTTCCTAGCAGTGTTTTCCTTCATTTCTGCCTTTACGTGTGGACGGGATTATTTTTTAAAACGAAAACGGAAAATCTCCGTTTTCAAAAATAGCCGTGTACGTGTGGACATGGCTTAAATTGACCTTGAACACATATGTAAACATGATAGCGACCTATTCAGTTAGCTGACTGGCTTTTACCAGCTGATTTCAACACGTATTTCAACAATATATCAACTTTTTTTAAACTAATAGGACTTTCTGCAAAGTTTGGATGCATTCACCGGAGCGAACGAACGGATGACTGAAAAAAAAAACAACAGTCTGACAAGACTGCAGCTTTGCGTTTCTGCCACAGCTCTCATTTACGTTTCAGGTGAGTTACTTAATTTAGCGAAACAACTAGTTCGACACTCATCACTGTTAAAATAAAAGTACAACATGAGTCTGTCAAAAACAACACATTTAATGGACGTACTTGGATCAGCCAAAGTAAATGCTAAAATTATGTTACAGCTTCTGCAGCTCGTTTCTCTGGCTTTTGTTAAAATAACTTACCGTTAGTGCGGGGATGCTTGAGCCCTCGTCAGTTACTGAAGAACTGGCGTTAGTTTGGTTGATTGGGGCCGTCCTTTCACCTGCTCCAGGTAAACCGTGGCGGGTTGATCCATCCTCCTCATCCGCTTCCACTCCGAGAAGGTGACGCGCGTGTGTCCGCTTTACGTGATAGTAGAAAGAGTTATATACTCTGTACTCACTCGGACAGCCATCAATTCCACACACCACGCGAAAGTCAGGGCTGCGGCTGTGCATGGTATTAATGTGACTCAAAAGTTGTCTCAGACTCAATGCTACAAACACGTAGCATATAAAGCAACGCCAAGTCATGTTGGAAGCTAGTATGTTTCATTCGGTAGCGCGGGCTGCAGTTGTGCCGTAAAATAACTCGTTACCATGGTTAAACGCGCCTGCTAAATTGTCGTAAATGTGGGGGATAAAGTAAAAAAAAATTTTATTAACCTATAATAATTAACGTTATTTTGCAATGCACAAAGACAGTTGTTTGGTTTAAAAACCAATCAATCATCCTTTTAGGATTTTTGGGCCAAAGAAATGTCAGGCAAATTGAAGATGAACTTCGTTTCTGGCTGTCGTGAATGATCTGGTGGACATCTTAAGTTCATGTAGACACGTGCCTGCCACTACTGTCCCAGAGTTCTTTGCATTCGCGTTTCATTGGAAGTAAGTTAAAATGTATTATACAGTGCTCATTTTTTGTACATATTACACTCCTTTCGAAAGTTCTAAATGTTTTGGTGTGTTTATATTGTGTAACGTTGCAGCCGAACAGTGACTGGACGAGGCAAGCTAACGCCAAAAAAGCTAACTAGTGTGCTAAGTAGGCTAACAGCATGGAAGGACTGGATGAGGTCACAGTGTCGGTTTTAAAGGGTAATGTATGCAAATTTATTTTTAAACAGATTAAATGGACTTATGTTTTACATAGGTGTGCAAATTCAATTACATTATTTTATAAATAATGTCGTTGATGATGTTTAAGTAATTTTTTTACCTTCCATTTCATGTGATCATTTCCTCATTTTAGGAACATTTGTAGTTATTTGTTTTACTTATGCAAGTGTATTTATTCATCCTTAGAGGTGGATAATTCTCAGTAACATTTACCAATTTACATTTAATTGATTAACTTTTGGGGAAAAAAAGTACTTAAGAGTAGTTTTACTGCACTATAGTTTACACTTTTACTTGAGTAGATTTGTAAAGAAGTAACTGTACTCCACTACATTCCAAAAAGCTCAGTTCCTTTAATAATACCTAAAGCTGGATAAAAATTCAGTGTCCAATATATAAAAAATGAGGTCAACAATGCTACTAAAGTAGTGTGACAATTTGTCTGTAAACAGAATTTTTCCACAGCAGTTAGCCCAGCAGATATATATTTTTTAATTTAATTAAGTAATTTTTTTGAGGAGAATACTTTTTTCTTCTACTTCATTTTATTTTGAAGTAACACTACTTTTACTTAAGTACAGTCTTTTTAGCATGTTGATCATTAGCTCTATACAAAAAACAGTAGCAGACAATGAGGTATCCACATTTCTATACTAAACTAGGTAGCAATAGCAACACAATTTTAATGAAGTGTCAACTTTCATAGTCTCATCTCTCATGCAGTTTCCTTTGTAGGGCATAATTTCATCTTGCTATGTTTTTCTTCCAATGTGTTCATAGCTGCAAACATCAGCGAGGGAATGATGGGCACCCTGTCTCGTGAAGACTTGCAGGATCTTTTCCCAGGCCCAGAGAACTTTTTACGGAGAAAAGCTGTCTGGCGTGCCTGTCAGGATGTACTGGAGGTCAGTTTCTCAGTCACTCACCACCACTTAAAATTGGCATCGTCGTGTTTTTGTCCGATTACAACTAGTTTAACCGCGGGCAGAGTTGAATGGCTCTTCACTATTCCCCCTCTCCACACACACACACACACACACACACACACCACAAAAATTGCGTTTTGCTTTTATTCATTATTATTTATTTTATAGGAATCTGGCCAAGATGACTCAAAATCTTCAACCAGCTCCTCCATTAATGAGTCACCCAAGCAACAGACATCCACTACTGTAAATGCAACTGCTGCAAAATGCACAAGCCCTGAAAAGGTTGTGAAGTTATTCTATCCAGAATATGTATTGCACACTGAGCTTGAGCAAGTCCGCCAACAATACTTTGAGTTGTCAAAGAAAGGTGAAGAGCGCAGCTGCAAAATGTCAAAGGAGCTCAGATGTCGGCTCATCCGAAACACCATGACTAGTATGATTGCAATCCTGAGGGCAAAAGGGGATGGAGAATCGCATAGATACCCATCAAAACCAGAAATTACAGCAATGGCAAAGAGAATAGTGCAGTACTACCCTATGCTACAGGACCAAGGCATCAAGAATACATGGGTAAGTGAAATGCATCCACTTCAATACCAAAGTGTTTCATGTTGGACATTTTAGTAGTGGTTGGAAAAATGTATTAAATGTCCTATACAGGTTACTGTGTACACACAGCTAAACAAAAGACTGCAAAATGTGAGATCCCCACAAAAAGCCACTCCAGATGGGAGACATTCAAAGAGGTAAGGCTGCAACTAATTAATTTTAATTTTAACTATGATAATTCTGTTATTCATTTTCCTCATTAATTGATAAGTTGTTTAGTCAGTACGATGTTTGAAAGTTGTGAAAGTTTTTCCCCAAAAGTCTTCTTTTGTCCACAATCTGACAATTTTAATTTCAACGATAGAGGACAAACAAAAAAGCTAAAATCATGTTTGGGCATTTTATTAAGGAAAGAAAGAAGTGATCCAATGTGATCAATCAAGTATTTGGTGACCTGCCTTTAGTTTCCTCACCTGTTTTAGCATGAAAGGAAGAAGCACTTTGTGTTACACTTTGTATATTTGAAAATGGCTGTACAATAAAGATATGAATTGATTGAGTTTATAGTTGATAACTAATTGATTAACTGACTAATCTTCGCAGCTCTGCCAAGAGGCGACGTCTTGATCAGCCAAGTGACGTAGAAGAAATGGATTCAAGTGACTCAACAATCATTCTGGATCTGTCCACAGAAGGGAGGAGCAGCCCAGAGTCGGCCAGTAAAACAAGTGAGTTAGAAGGTGAGTTTCAACTTTACATTTACAAACTGTGTGGTCATGTTCAATTAAAAAAATAAAATATATACTAAAATATTTTTTTTTTTTTTTTTTTTTTTTTTTTTTAAAAAAAAAATATCATAAAAAAATAAAACAAATATACCTGCATGTTGAGTCAAGATGGCAGTCCTGAGATGACAGAAGTAAAAGGCTTTAAAATGGGCATCAGAAAATGATAACTACATCACATTTTTCCTGTTTTATCATCAGTTTGTTAACATTTCTGTGGAAATTAATGTTAATAAAGTATTGGTATTAATAAAAGCCAGTATATTATAAATTTAAAGAGCTGGGTACTGTGGTGTGTTTATAGTATAAGTCTGTGCAACATCACTGTCTCTAACCACTCAGTATATCATGTAAAGTAATGTTTTTAAAAAACAATGTGCCTCACTAGAGGCTTTTTTGCCTATAGGCAAAACTTTGTGCAGCGCTGAGCAGAGGCGGAGGCAGACATTTGATACACCCAGGGCTTAGAGTTTTGTTCAAAAAAGAATGACTTCATATAGGGAAAATATATATATATCACATCTGCAGGACACCTTAAACTAGTTTTTTAATTAAGCAGCAAGGCAGAACAAAGTCGGGGCTGTATCAAGACACGAGGACTAAACCCCAATTCAACCAGACCAAGAACTGATCTGGAATTAAAACAGGACTACAACAGTTCAAAATCAGGACTACTTAGGACTTAACCAAGACAGAACCAGAATCAGAACTAGATGATAGTAGCACTAAAAATAATCATAGACCTGCACTACACTTATTTTTTATTTCTACCAAAGTACATTATTTAGATTCAGAAAAGTTTATATAATTATTTAGCCTTGTTGTGCAAACAAGCCTGCAGAACTTAATAATTGTAGAATTTGAAAAATAAAAAACTTAAAAAGAAACACTAGGTACGATGAGTACCTATGATACGGTGATACTTTTGGTAAACGACCATTTGACTAACATGTGTGTCTCACCTGCTCTTGTTCCATCTCTGTTCTGTCGTCATTCTCTCTCTCTCCCTCTCTGCTTCTCTCTCTCTCTCTCCCTCTTTGTGCTGACAATCAAGCCAAACACCAACATCATCAAATATACAGTTGAAACCAGATATTTAAACACTCTTCAGATAAAAACACAAATACTTTTTTTTTTAATTGTAACATCAAATCAGAATAAATGTTTATTTTTTTTTAGATTGATAAATATAAAAAACATAGTTTCTCTCTTTACTCTTAAAGTTAACAAATATCTGTATTTCTTAATTTTAAATGGCACCAAATTGTATTCAAAATTAAGCCACACTTATGGAGCTCCACAATTCTTTTCCTGGTGTTTTGGTTGACATCTCTTGATTTTCCCACGTCAAAGAAACAGGCTCTGTGTTTTGCCTTATATGCATCCACAGGTGTGCCACCAATTTACTCACATGGACTCTACTAACCTATCAGAAGCTTCTTCAGCTCAGAATGGAACCGTCTGAGTTTTCTTATTAATTAACAATAAACTTAGTGTATATGTACTCCTAAATTTGATGAAAGTGATAAAAATAGACAGCTGTCTCTTTATTCTGACATTTAACTAATTCAAAAGATATTTCAATATTTATTTATCCAAAACAAAACAAGTTTACTCTAAATTGATGTTGTACAGTAAAAAAAAAAGTTCTTGTGTTTTCCACAAAGTGTATGTAAGTATCTGGTTTAAACTGTGAATATACTGCTGTGTATTGAAGTTCCTCTTGTTTTGCATAAAAATATACTAAACAACATACAAAGCATAATATATAAAATACTACCAGAGTTTTTTCTTTGAAAGAAGCTCCTTATGTCCATTCTTGTATATCAGTGCATTACTGAAACAGATTTATTTAGCTGTGGAGGGTAACAACTGAAAATAGGAAATAAACACACATGTAAGCTAAGACTCCAAAGAAACAGCATTGTTGTTGTTCGGCTTTTCATTTCGCCATTTGTTGATTCACTCGAAGAGCAAGTAACGTAATATGGGTCAAGTGATCAGTTTGATATCAATCTTTTGTGATTCACCGTCATATTTACATTATTTGTACAGTACGAATGATTTGCTTTGCTACCTGGTCAAACTTCAGTTCTCCTCTGTCTGCCTGGCTGCGTTTCTCCAACAGCGTACTGGCAGGCAGCAGCTCCCCCCACCCCCTCATGTCTGAGCTCGGATCATACCAATATTAAGGGGAATTTACGCACAGTCGTAAATTCCCACAGCGTGCACTATGTGCTTCGAATATTGTGTGTAGTTTTTGTTTTATACAGTTGTCAGCCAGGCATGTAACTATGAAAAGAAATTACACTCCAAAAGACCCTGGACTTCTGAAAAAACAACTCTGGCTTAAGCCCAGTAAGCCGCCCCCCTCCTCCCGCTCCGCCTCTGACGCTGAGAGGTGTCAAGTCAAAAAAGCTCTATCAATACTGAAGTTTTGTTTGATGACAGATTCATGGTGAGGTTTTAGTTGTATTATACATTAACAGTGGCATTATTTCCCAGATGTGATTACCCTTACACTCACATGTTTCACCAGCACAGTGAAAAAGCTCTCTCGCCAAAGGTGCACACAAGCAGAAAGGGAAAGAAAATCGCTGCATCAAACAATCCTGCTCCAAATGGCAGATTTTGGCTTTGTGTTTCTGTGTAGGAAGTAAAACAGACCTGAAAGACTCACTATTTGCATTATCTTGCGTAATCTCTGAGTAATTGGAAAGGAATTAATATTAATCCTTTCCTGTGGCACGGTGCCCCATAAAGCTGTTGTGACTAAGGCAGAACACAGAGACAATGCAGAGAACATGCCAAGATCCTCTTCAAGTAAAACATGCAGCATCACTGGATGGGGTGGCTGAACTGTGCTTTGCAAGGGTTTGACTAAAGAGCCCTTGAATGCGTGGGCTTCATAGGGGGGACGTAATACAGAAGAACCTCACACCAACCTTTAAATCCTGACTTGGTTGGGTTACATTCACACAACTGCCTGCTTCACAGCAGCTCAGGAAACAGTCGGAGTAAGTGTGAGTTTACACATGACAGGGAAAGTGGTATTTGTTCACAGTGAAATGTAGACTATAAAGTTTTACTTACCACATATAGTAGAGCCAATTTAATGAACATCGCACTCCTGGGACCCTTTAGCACTTTACAGTGTAGTTTGCAGAGGGAATTTGCTGAATGCAGAAATGTGTGGAGGAAATCAGAGGTTGTCAGTGTCACAAGCCCGAAGGCTCAGCACATGATGATTATTTTTTTCTTTTCTGATGCGTTCTGTTAAAATGAGCTTTTCACACACTTTATTTTAACCTTGCCAATTAGCGCTTCATACTTCAATGTACACAGATGAGGAATTTAAAAGTGTTTTTGTCAGTAATTAGAAATTCTCCTATAAACATCAAAAATCAGCAGTTAGTGGACATTCAGTCTGGGCACTCATCTCGTCTTGACCATAGACAACATATATTACAGTAACATCAACCACTGGTGAGTGAAGTCACCTTGTGAAGTCTCAAGGAGAGAGTTTTCTTCTTCATCATTTTGGTGTTAAGAAACTGGATGTGATGACGAGCGTGGTGGAACTAACTGAGGAACTAAGGGACACTGCATGCTGCACGTTACAATGTACTTTAGGCTTACCAGAACACAAAGCCTGCTTTATTGTCCTTTTTTTTTTTACTCTAATTGGGGCTGTAATTTACACAATAAATATCACGCTATATTTACACCTTATCTGAAATTATAAACCATAAATGTATAGTTCTATAGAAAAGGATGTCTTTTTGAACCCAGAGGAGTTGCTTTGGGAACCACTAATAACATTTTGGTGCTTCTGGTATAGCAAGCAGAAAGCCCAACCACAACTTCCTGTTGTTTATATAAATAATGTAAATTAAATCTGCAAGCAGCAATGATAAGGCATTTGCACCTTGGCACACTCAAGCATGCTGCAGTGTGGCTATCTAGGATTGTGATTGGCTGTTGCACAAACTAGCACTTCCTATGCACACGAGGTGTTTTTTTTCCTCGAGCAAACGCACAGAATAATATGCCATGTTGCTGCATACCATGTGTGGAACCCACAATTAAAATTTCAACATGATGTGTATTACCACTTGCTGATTTCCTGTTGCTACTAGATGGCGCTATAACATTGACTAAATATTCGCAATTTAGCATTGGCAAGGTTTACTATCATTAATTGCAATGTAATAGAGGGTGATATAGAACTATTCTGGAATAATCATGTTTGTGTCCCAAAAAATATGTATTTATCACTAGTCCTGATGCATATGCTAACTATAACCCAAAAAAGACAGTTAATTTGCACAAAGAACCAGAACTTCTCACAGTCAGTGCTCACACCCTATCAACTTTTTTATATGCTAAGAAGACAGTCTTTGACAAACAGGTAAAAATAGAATATTGGAAGGGAAATCTAACACAAATTCACTTATATTAACGGCTTTTTTTCAGTAAAAAAACAAAGTTGTAAAAGAATATTCAGTGGTTTTGTATTAATAGAATGTATGTCTGTAAAGTGTTATCCCTTTCCTACAGATTCTGTACATCTTGTTTTGAAAATATCTGTTTATAGAGATTATAGAGATGTAACACCAACTATATCACATTTGAAACATGAGGTTTTGTGATTTTTTTTTTTTTGGAGAAGTTTACATCTCCCCCTGAGAAACCTTTGAATTGCACAATAAATTCTAAAGAAATAAACTGCAAACAAAATCAAATAATTAAGTAAATAAATAAATAAATGAATGAACACTATTAAAAAGGAGAATTTTCTGGAATTTACTTGATGGTTCAGGGTTTAAAGTGTTAGAAGGTTGTTTAAACATGTTTAGACTTATGTCTACAAGCAATGCGGACATGTACACGTATTTTTTAGAAAAAGTATTTCAATAGAAATGTTTCACCTCCAGGTCCAGCTGTATTACTTC